GTAGTAGTGCTAGTGAAAAAAGTTGTGGATTCTAGAGTCTAGAATTTATTTCCTTTCATATTGAATAGGGGTTACGGGAAGGTTTACTAAAAGCCAAGGGAGTTCAGGGACCGAAAAAGGTTGGGAACCCCTGCTCTAGACAAAGGTGGGCTAGAATCAGAAGCCGAGTGGAAAACCTCAGGCTTTGGGGGCCGTGAGAATTTGCCAGTTGGCCCCGCAGAGCCAAACTGAGACCCGGGAGCCAAACTTCCCCAACTCTGCAGTGACTCAGGACTGTCCTGGAGTAGGTGGGAATTAAAGATTACTATTTAATTACAGATTGTGTCTGGTAACGAATAGGTGCAACCAAAATTAGCAACCCTAGGCCGGAGCCTGTGCTGCCAGGGCTAGTCTCCAGCTAAACTGCAATGCCAGGAACCCCCAGAGAAGGACCAGGCTGGGAGGCAAAGGGAGCGCAGCTCTATGGTGGGCGTCTCCCTCCCCACGCCCTCTGGCTGGCCCAAGCCCTGCCCAGGATGGCCCGAAGTCCGGCTGCAGGCAGTGTCCAGCATGGGACCCCTCCTCAGGGCACCCTGCACTGCCAGGGCTAGTCTCCAGCTAAACTGCAATGCCAGGAACCCCCAGAGAAGGACCAGGCTGGGAGGCAAAGGGAGCGCAGCTCTATGGTGGGCGTCTCCCTCCCCACGCCCTCTGGCTGGCCCAAGCCCTGCCCAGGATGGCCCGAAGTCCGGCTGCAGGCAGTGTCCAGCATGGGACCCCTCCTCAGGGCACCCTGCACTGCCGAGTGATCACTGAGACGCCCCCTAGGGCCAAGCGCCGCGTCTCCACCTACCGGTGCCAGCAGCGCTGCACAGTTAGCGCCTGCCAGGCCGTTCGCAGCCCGCTCGCCTCTGGGCACAGGCCAGGCCCTCGGGCTCGCGGAAATTAGCGTGGGGCGGCGGCTTTGCTACCGACTGGACGTGCGGCTGCTGGGAGAGCGGAGCGTGACGCATTTGGTAATGGAATGACTGGGAATCCCGCTTAGGCTTTGATCCCACCCGCGAGGGTACAGAGGGTTACTCTGCAGGGCGCCGGGGAAATCAGGACTAAAAGCCGCTGTTACCCTGGTGGGCGCAAGTGAGCCCTTCCAAATGACAATGCAAATTCCCACCGCCTCTAACCCCTCAGATACGTATTCCCCCCCCCCGCTCCACTTCCAGTTTTGGAAACACCTGGAAAGCTGTAAAATGATTTACGAAGTGAAAGTGTTAAATGAGGCCACCAGCTGTAAGTCTGACAGAGCTTTATGGGTTTTATTAGGTGCCCTATTATGGAAAATAAACTTTAATCCGTCCATAAAAACAGAATCTGAAAAACATATTTGTCCTTGTAGTCTGGAACAGTGAAGGTATTCTTGTGAGACGCTGGGGCTTTAAAGAGATTAGTTTTATTGAGAGAGACACAATGCACCGGTAGGGCTTTGATACATAGCCCATGAATAGCTGCCTGTAGCTGGTAGGCTATTTGTTATACTCTTAAAACACATTTGGACACACACCTCTTAGTCAAACAGTAAATTTCTGCCTCGATCAGGTTTATTTTCCTGTTTAATTATCATGTATTTAACTGTAAATTAATATCCCGGGGACGGAAACTTTCCTATGTAAATTGACGTCTCTTCGGTTGTTCCTTCTCTGAAATTATCCTGTTACGTATCTTTAGAAACGGTTTTTATTTGTTTAGGTTTTAAATTATAATCATGGAGACAAATTCTACTGCTAATTGATGTCTTGGACAACCCCCAGAGTCTTCTTGGGGGTAACAATTGGCCAGATACCCGCTTTACGAGTGTGTGTGCCCGTGTATATAGAGACCAAATATTTATATGGTCAGTATCTAAAATTAAGAAATTCATTCAGAAATCCAGTGTGTCTATAAATTCTGTAAACCTCACTGTCTAGAGTATAAAGAATGCTAACTGAAGTCATATTCTATATTCTGGAGGCCATTAAAATACTTCCATATTTGTATGTAATGAGTTTGTGTATTGAGCAAATTTCTCAATTGGGGCGGAATATAATACTTATTTAATATCTCCTCGATGCAGTGAGGGTGCTGGCGTGCCAAGCTAATACATAAACGATATGCTTTATAGATTACATTTCGGCTTAGCAACACCTGAAGAGCTCAGTGACCTAAAACTGTTTTTCTTATTATCATTAGTAACAACCTCTTCCATGCATCAGACTGTATTTCACACGCCTTGTACGGCCAAATCTTTACAGAAGTAATTTATATGGGCCATATTGTTTTCATTTGAAAGGTTAACACGGGTTTGTAAAAAATCACTTTTAAAAAAGGTGTGCGGGAGTGGGGACACTCCATATTTTACAGACTATTATATCCCCGTGCAACCTGAGAGTAATCATTTTATAACCGAATTTACATATTCAGATACAGATCAAAATTCCACTATGGAGAGAGCCTTTGGATAAGAAGCAAAAAACAGCAAAATGGCCAAGATGTCATGTTTGCTGGGTTGTTCAGCAACCGTAAGGAGGATCTGTGCTCCTTAGCAGGGACTGCTGACACCAGATGATAGCTGGGATGAATGCGCCTCTAGATTCCCAAAATGTTTTCTCTTTCTCATTCTTGGTTGGAGGGGGGAACCGAAAGAAAAAAAATCTGGTGATCCAATCCCCCTTGCCTTATTGAAATCAGGGGGCTTGATTCGGAACTGTAAACCGGATGTAACTACATTAAAATCAAGGGGGGGATACATCAATGTAAACGAAACCAGAATCGGGGAGAAAAGCGAGCAGAGTTCATTAATCCTATGTAAACAAAACTCTCCCCTGGCATAATCTCTTCTTCGGATTACTCCACTGAATTCGGATGTAAAGCAGAGTGACGGGGAGCGGGATTTGGCTTAATGGGAAATGCAGAATCTACTCTAGGGCAGTTAGTTACCCTCCTGTCTGTACCCCTTGCACTGTGTCTTGCGCCGTCTCAATTGCTAATAATCCTTTTTGCATGTCTAAGCGGCCCGTGAAGGATGGGTGAGACTAAAAAGAGAGCAGAGACGCATAGTAATTCATTGGCGGGGATGAATTGTTAGATGTGGCCCCGAGTTAGTTAGGATGAGCCAGTGATTATATTTAAATTTGCTATAATTGATTTGAGGAAGAGCTGCGGTGACAAGCGCGAATTGATCATTAAATTTATTGGCGAGATAAATTCCGCCGCTATTAAGGAGTTTGAATGGCGACAGTTATGCTGACTCCACCAGAAATCTGCCTGGAGGCTCCCAAATGCAGCAATCGTGTAACAGCCGGGCTGTAAATGGGAAGCTTAAATAGCAAATAACGTTGCACCTTTTCCATTATGCAACGGTGACACAATTTTCGTGGGAATAAGTTTCATAATGAAATCTCTTTCCACTTTGCTTGCCTGGGCTAACAACAACCTTACGTGTTCCTTGAATGAATCCAATGCCTGTAAATTAGCTCCACTTTCTCATTTCCTGCGCCTGGGCTTTTGGGCAGGTTGGTTTTAATTTTTCCCACTTGAACACTAAGAACCCAATTGCTCCCTTTTAACTGGGGCAGTTCACACTGGGATTGGTGCTTAAATCCTGCTCGCTCAGACTTGTAGCTCTCCTTCCCAGACGTGGGCGTTTACACAGGGCAGTACCCCAGGAAGGAGAGGCTTTCGGGCAAGGAAATAGCGCTGCTGTATAAGGAGCCGGGGATGGGGTGGAGCAAATAAGATCCGAGCCAGAATTTAGGTTCAATATTGGCCTTAAAAACGGCGAAGAGAGGAAGGGAGAAGATAAAGCAAAATGGCTTGGGAGCAAAATTAGAGTCAGATGTGGATCCAAGGACTGTTAACTCCATCTCACTGCGTATTAAATGTTTGTCATTTTAAAGTATATTTAAACATCCTTATTTCCGCAACAGAGCCCGTGCTAATAACGCAGAGGTGTGTTCGGAATACAGTATCAATAGTGTTTCTAAGGAAGGAAGGAAGTTTTAGTCCGTTTACAGAAATGATATGCGTCCTAGGAGGGAGATAAGTGTTACAGGCGCCCATGAACACAGCGTGTTCCGTTCACACCAGAGCCAGCCCTGCCTGCGTGCCGTTGTTTAACTGTGCAATCGCTGCGTTTAGCAGGAGAGGCATAATCCCCCGGTTCAGAGTCGCAAGGATCCCACACCGATTTGCTCCAGAGGATGTGAGTTTCCTGCTAAGCACGCTGGGCGTAAAAGCGACCCGGCGTGTGCAGATCGTTGTGGGCCCTCCTATGTTCCCAGCTAGGATTCCTCCATGTTTGGGCACAGGCTCGTAGCTTGCTGATTGATGAGCCTTACTGCAGAGGTTTATTAATCAACCACCATTGCAGCTCTAGTGTGAAACGTTTCCGCCGTTTGACTCCCTTCTAGTGTTTGCTCGGCTGTACATTTGCACAGATCCGAGAAAGCCATTACCAGCTGGCCTTAGGGCCTGGCCAAATCGGCTGAGCGGTATGGCAGGGAGGAATCCAAGTCAAAAGGCCAGAGCAGTTAGGAACACGCAATCAGAAAGAGAACTGGATTCACAGTACTGCTGCGGAGAGAGCACAAAGCTACTCTCTTGGAAACACAGCAGTACCGTCACCTTGCATGAATCATCTGTCGCCTCATTTTTTCTGCTAAAAAAGAAAGAAGTTGAGGCCGTTAATGATTGCAGGTAAATCCAGCATCCTTCTCCAGACGGTAATGGAGTTATTCCAGATTCATACCGAGATGTGAATCTGGCCCAACAGGCAAAACAAGAAAGAAAACAGATCTTTTTCCGATGTACGTTGTCCTCATACATACATTGTTAGATGCAAGTATGAGGAAACTCCTTGCAATTCTGGGAGAGGTTGATTTTCTGAAGAACATTAATATAGAAAAACTGTAGATTATTTAGATCGAATTAAATTAATTATGGGAAACAATCTGGCACATACCTCTTTCATAGTAAATTATACAAGACACTTCAACGTAGTCGATTTATTTAACCATAAATCTAGGGTCCTTCCTCCAGTCCTTGTGAGGTGGTGTATGGATTTAAAGGCATAATTTCGTTCCAGTTTTTCCATGGACTATACAAATTAACTGTATAGTAAAGTGGCAAATAATTCCAGGTACAGTATAAATTCAGATCTCAGACCCTGGTAGCCAAACCAAGTCCTTTACAAAAATTGAACAGAAGCCTCAAGTACAAAATGTTGTTTATTTTACATACCATCATGGACGATGGAGAAGCTGGATAATAATTTAGCATGCATAAGTAGAGGTACCCTTTTTATAAATACAATATACAAAAATAAAGACAGTACAGTCTTGAGATTTCCAGCGGTTTTAACGTTCATGACAGTTTTCCAGATATATAATAAGCACGAAACATTTCCAATACTCAGCAAAAGAACAGGGTTTCCATGGGTAGGTTCAAGTTTTTTAAAATGTCTCTTAACACTGTGGTGAACTGTAAATCTTCTCTACATGTGTAGGAAGAAGAATCCTTTTGTCAATGTACCTCCACAGACAATCCCAAACCTTCCCAGGAGCTTCTCACCTCTATTAGGAGCTGCTTGGTTTTTCTGTTTGTTACATGAGAGCTGAAATGCTGACGCCAAAGAGCAGTGACGAATCTGAGCTTGTGGCAGCTGAAGACCGAATATTTCCCATGTAGAGATAAAAGGTACTGGTCTAAGATTGGCTGTTCTTCCTCTTGTGCAGGGAGATGGAGGCATTTGGGGCTCATTTCACTGACGCCAAAGGCTGCAGAGATGGAGCAAAAGCAGACGGGGCAGAGGAGGGTGTGTTGATGGTGGCAATGGGCAGCTGTGTGTCCCAGGGGAATAGTGGATGGGAAGAAAATGTGTATGTGGCTGGGGAGTGGGAGGTCTGGGGAAGGGACTTAAGGATGGGCTGTAGAGAGAGGTGTGGGGTGGTTGCAGCAGTGGTGGGCAGAGGCGTTTGGGTGTGTCTAGAGGTGGCCGAGGGAAGGTGGGGAGGGGAGTGTGCATTTGTCTGTCTGGGGTAGGGATGGGCAGAGGGACCGGCCTGTCTGGAGGGGGGGCTAGGTGGGCAGAGGGGCCGGGCAGCCTGCGTGGAGGTTGCAGGGCATAGGTGGGCAGCAGGGCCGGTCTGGTAGCTGGGCAGGCAGGTGCAGGGCTAGAAGGGCTGGGCCCGGCTAGCAGCAGCAGTGGGAAGGGGAGCTCGCCTGCCGGCTCACTGGGGCTGGCCGGGGGGCGGCTGCAGCGGCGCGGCGTGCCGGCTGCGGGGCTGGGTCTCCTCCTCGTCCCCCTCGGAGCAGTCGGAGGAGTTGTATGGGCAGCAGTGTCCGGCGTCCTCCTCCTCGGGGTCGCTGTCCCTGAGCTCCCGCAGCCGGCGGCCGCTGCTCTTCTCCGGGGCAGGCAGCAGCAGCTCCTCGTCCGCCTTGTCTTCCCCGCCCAGGCCGCCCTTCTGCTTCTCGGCCTCCTGCGCCGCCTGCTCCTTGGCCTTTTTACTCCGCTTCCACTTCATGCGCCGGTTCTGGAACCAGATCTTCACCTGGGGGGGGGCACAGGGCATAAGGAGGGGGGAACGCAGCCCCCGGGGGGACCCACCCCCACACACCCCGCCCTCGCCCCGTCCCACACTGCACCCCCCTCCACTCCCTGCCCGCCCCTCCCGTTCCCAGACCACCTCCCCAGCCTGCAGCATCTCCCCGGCTCGTTACAAGGGGCTCCGGGGTGAGGCGGCCCGAGCTGGCTGAATCCCGCGGCGCAGCTGCCTGGCCCCGCCTGGGAACCCCCCCCGCCCCCTCCGCGGTCCGCAGCCTCCTCGGGGCGAAGGTCGCCGGGCTGCGTGGGGAGCCAGGGAGGGGGCCGGCAAAGCCCAGCGGCCCGGGGGAGGCCGGGAGGGGGCAGCTTGGCGGCGGATAGCCTCGGGGCTGGCCGCGGCGCTGCTCAGCGTAAACCCAGGGTCCCCCCCCCCCCCCCGCGCTCCCGACCGACGTGGCCACCTCGAAGCGCTTGGGCCGGGAGAGGAATTTGTTCAGCTTGAACTGGTGCTCCAGCTCCAGCAGCTGCTGGCTGGTGAACGCGGTGCGGGGCCGCCGGCACTTCCCCAGCAGGTTGGACTGCGCCTGGGCTGGAGACAAAACAGCGCGTCAGCCCCGCGCGGGCAGCCGGAGCCCGGCCCCGCCACCCTCCCAGGGCCGCTGGAGCGGGCACTGCCGGGGCCCAGCTGCCTCGTACGCCGCGTCCAGCAGCTAGTATCGCCGGCTGCCTCCACCTGCAGCATGGGGGGCAAGAAAGATGCAAGGGGGGGGCGATCGGGGAGGAAGAGAAGAGCTGGTCTCCTGTGAGGGAGAGAAGGGGGCAGCAGGACAGAGAGCGGGGGAGGGGGGTTAAAAAAATCCATCTTCTAAAAAATGGAGAAAAGGAAGAGGAAGCAGTGATTTAAATCTCCCCCGCTTCATTATCATAAAAATGGCTGCTGCTTTTTTCCGGCTCGGAGCTTTGCCGGAAAAAAGCGCCAGGGGAGAAAAATCCTGGGAAAATGTTTTGCAGCCGAGTATAGGAAACCCTCAGGTCCGCCTCACATTGATCCTACAGCAGCCTTATAGGCACTTTAAAAGAAGCATCGTCGTTCGCTAAATTAGACACCTCAAGCCGCGCGTGATGGCGGTGATCTAGTTAACATGCCATATGAGACCGGCTTCTCTATTTACATAATTTCACAGAGCTTCACAGCAGGGACATTTATGGCCAAAGAGGGACTGCTTGATTTCCCAAGAGCCTAGCAAATGCTAGACAACAAAAGGAACCCGGGATCACAGGGAAATGATCTCAGCCTCTCCGGGGAAGAGCAATTTGCTTCATTTAATTGTAACGCCCCCTACTTTGGTGAAACAAGTCTCCCGAATTCCCAGTTTGACCATCCATTCGAACTTTAATTAAACCGGACTCCAAAGGGACTTTGGGGAAAGCCAGGGTTCCCCCAGCAGATTAGAGAAAAGGGTTCCATTTGTTTGTGTTTTATTTCAGGACCTCGGTTGGCCAGTCTGTTATGTTTGCAGACAATAGGAGACAAATGTGACATGAAACCTGAACGCGAAATGCTGTTCAGTCTAGGTGTGAGGCATATCGGAAAAACCTATTTCCACCAATATTCTCGAACTATAAAATGAGAGGTTATAATCTCAGCGCATTTTCCGGATCCCAAGATCAGGAAGACTGCGTCAAAAATTATTCTGACAATTGCAAGAGAACGGATGGGCGATATTATTCCCCAAAATACTGCGGTCACATTTAATGGACACACAAGTGAGAACATCACTTTGGAAGCCTGCGAGCTGAAATCCTGCTTTCACCAACCAATCCAGTCTCTGAAGTTGCAGATGATATTTATGCTCCTAAAGAGGCGGAAGAGGAAACACAATTCTCGTCGGTGTGTTGCGACTATAACCTCTAGTTTCTTGGACATTCGCTCTCCTTTCTTCTGCTTTAGAAACTAAAAAGCCTGTAAAGTGGGGGAGGGG